GGTTACAGGAACAGGCCCCCGCCCCTGCATTCTGCGACTAACTGAGCCTGGTGTCGCATCTGAGCAACCAGTTACGGGTTAGATAGAAAGAGTGAAGGTCTCAGCCCCGTGCATGGCACCTCTCTTCTTTCGATGTGGAGTGGCCATTTCTCTGCCTGAGTCCCTCTGGGTCTTGGAGATTCGGGAATGGATAAGAAATGACCAGAAGACACTTACCCTGCGGCTGGTCCTGGGGGGGCCTCTCGGGCCTCGAGCCTGCCGCTGCTGCTTGCTCGGTGCCCTGTCCATCTGCCCCTTCCCGTCTGAACCCGTCGCTCCTCGCGGCCGGCCTCTTTAAGATCTCCTCAATGGAGAAGGACAGGTCCAGCTTCTTTGGGGCCTCACAGCACCCCGAGTTCTTCCCCTCCATACCCCGCAAAGAGCAGCGCCTGCCTTGGCACTCTCCGGGGGCGGTGTGAAGAGAGCTGAGGGGGCTTCGTGTGCCCAGGGTGATGCTGGTGGAGGGCTGCTGCTTCCTCCCCCGAAGCTCCTGGCATCAAGAGGGTAAGCGGAGGTGGAGAAAGGGGAGCCTCACGTCGGGTTATCCAGGCACGCTTCTCTCTCCCCAGGGACTTCCATGGGTCACTTCAGCTCACCCCTGGGATCAAGGAGGTGGGTCACAAGGGAAGAGTTGGAACGGGCTGTACCCTGTACCCGCAGGCTCAGGGCTCTTGCCAGCTCGACTCCAAGGGAGTCATCATTGCCACCCTTAGGTCCCAGGTGGCCAGCTCCGTCCTGGGCCACACCGCAGCTGAGGATGTCCCTGGAGCCCTCCTGGCCGTCTCCCAGTCTGCCGCGGAGACTCCAGAGTGCGCCTCCCGGAGCACCGGCGCTTCTGATGTCCTGCAGGTGGAGGCGCAGGGCGGGGTCACTGGGCCACTGCCCGGCTTTCTCTCTGCCACGGGGCTGGGCTGAGTGCTGAGCTCCCCGGGCGTCTCTGGTCTGGCCCTGACTTTCTTCCCTTCTTCTCACCCGGACCTCACTTCGTAAGTCTCTCCACAGGCTCCTGGACCCGGTGCCTCTTCTTGCCTTGTGGCGTCTTTTCTGCTTCTTTCCTGCTTGCATGCCCCTTACCTGCCCCAGAGACAGCACCGAAGGGCCCTTTCTCTCTGCCCGGCAAACTGTTGCTGGGAGCTGACAGGCACCGATCTGTCCTTGTCAGGAGTTCTGTTCCCAGTGACTGTGTAACCAGGGAGGAGGGGGCTGTAAAACGGCTGATAAGAGAAGAAACTCTCCGCCCTCCTTACAGCAGGGGATGCAGGTGTCCGGGGAAAGGGGCAGGAGGCAGAGGGGGCTAGAGGATGGGTTTTGGGGGTCAGGGGGGCTGTGCTGGGGAACTGGCCAGGCTGGAACAGGACAAGGAAGGTGGGGCAGGATGGCCAGGAAGTGTTCCCAGGCCCAATAAAATGTGTTTACTCAGCCGGGAGAGTTTATGGGTCTCCCTCAGGCTGGAGGCCCGGCCAGGGTGCAGTCTGCTGGGTGTGGGCACAAGCAGCCTCTCCCAGGTGCGCTTGCAAGTACGTGGGGACACGGAGGGGAGCTCCAGAATCTGCGCTGGGCACAGGGGCAGGTTCGCACGAGAGAGACAGATGTCCCGGGAGAGAGCGTGAACAGGAACCGGGACGTCAGAATCTAGACTTTCTGTCAGAGGGTGGGGGCAGCAGGCGGGGTGTGGGAAGGCTGATCCTCACGCCCTGAGGAGGGTGAGTGGGGTGAGTTTGGGGCTCACCTGAGATGGGAAATGGAAGGTCATGGGGTCTGTTTCAGGACCTGTTCCCCCTGGAAGTGTCAGGCTATCGGACCCGGCCAGGGGGCTCCGGGCTCTGCTGCAGGCGCAAGCCAACCCTAGAGTCTTGAGAGTGTCATTGCTCACCCTCGTCACAGCCAGTGTAGCTGGACATTCGTTCGGGGACCCGGGCTCCTTCCGAGTGTGAAGCTGCCGTCCTCCTATGGTGGGAACGGGGAGAGGGGGAGGGAGTGTTGTGAGTCAGAGGGGAAGCGGGTCACGCAGCTTCCGCTCATCTTCTGCGCCCAGGAGGGGTGACATGACCCTGCCTGAGGCACAGGGCCTGGAAACGGAGTTCTCTGGGCCAGGAGGAAAACGACCCAGGGTGGTGGACGCCCAGGGACGTGCTGTGCGCCCTTTACTGTGCGGAGGCCGAGTCCCGCGGAGGCCAGGCCCACGGCTGGGTGGCTCAGGGAGCTGCTGCCTCCGGAGGGCAGTTCCTTCTGCTGGGGCGGACCTGCTGCGATGGCCGCTGCGGGCCAGGCTGCGGGGCTGAAGCAGCGCAGCAGTAACGGAGGGGAGGGAGGCCGTGGGGCCGCGGGTGGGGCACCCGCTGCCTCAGTTAATCCACCAACAGCCTCATCAGCTGGGTGCCATTCCCACCAGTTTACCGTGAGGAGATGCACCCGGAGGGGGGCGTGGTGGGTGTCCGGCTCCGCGGCCAGCCAGTAGGAGGAGCAGTGTTCAGCCCTGAAAGCCACCCCTGCTCCCTTCCCCATAACCCCCAACGACCGTCCGGTCCAACCTGTCATTGTACAGCTGAAGAACCGAGTCAGACAGAGCACGAAGTCAGTCAGGGGCACACTTGTCATTTTAACACCTTGTCTGGTTTCCTTTTATTCTGCCTCTCTCTGGGTGAGCCTTGCCCTGGGACAGGTTAAGAAAACGTCTTCATCATGTGGGCCTGGGTACTCACTGTCCTTCCAAGCCATTGCTCCCCTCCCCGCATGGTCAGCCCCAGTCCTGGCCCTTATGTGAGTGTTCATTCCACAAGTGTTCCTCGAGCATCTCCCATGTGCCAGCCACTGGAAGGATGTGACACGGACCCTGCCCCAAGGGACCCACATGCTGAAGTGAGGGTGGGGTGGGGAGATGGTCACTCTCAGTGAAGGGGTCTGTGGGACTTCATAGGCCGAAGATATTGTGTGGCCCTTTGGATCAAAGAAAGATTGACGTGCAGGGAGGAGAGAGAAAGGGAGACGTCACACAAGTTGCCCCATTTAATCTGAGTGGAGACACACAAGCACATAAGGTCACCTGCAGGGTGCACTGTTCTCGTTACAGCGACGGGAGAGGAATCATTTTCTGAACAGATAATTGGGAAAAACGTGCTGGAAAGGTAGGCTGGAGCCACCTGTTCATCTATGCACCCGTCACATATTTTTGAAGCACCCGCTATGAGGTGCCAGACCACGAATGAGTGCTGGAAAGACAGCTGTGGCTAGAATAGGCGAGCTCCGTCTTCTCGAGGAGCTTACATTGAAAATAGATGATAAACAGACAATAAATAAATGCCCAATATAATTTCCACTCGCGATAATGTTCTGAAGAAAACAAATCAGGATGCTGAGCTGGACAGCAGCCAGGCGAGGCCCGGTCCTCTAGAGTTCTCAGATCTGAATTTTAGCCCACAGGCAATGCAGAGCCGTGGGTGTTTTTGGGAGATCACGTAGGTTTTGCTTCAGGACGTTGTCAGGAAAGGCGTGTGTCCACGTATGCAGGGCTGTGGCACTTCCTGAGTCACCGGGACACTGACTGATTCTCTCCTGTGAC